TTTTCATTAACTAAAGAGCTACTAGAGAATCAGAAGACAGGTTGGTCAGACATGAACGCCTACAGAACAATATACACATCGGCCATCCAAATGCATGCCAAGTCAGAATGAGTCTCAGCCAATGGTTGGCTATTGCAGTCCCATTTGCATTCATAACTCTGTTATGGAGAAGAGCATAGCATAGATTAGCCTGATGCAATTGAACATTTAAATATTGTAATGATCCTATACTCATCAAGCCACTTTTTCCTTATTATTTGACTTCCTACAGTTTCTGACTTTAAAATAATATGCTAATATTATACAGCTTCGTTTTCTGGTCTGTTGAAATAATTATACTTCTCAGAACAAAGAAATACATTGATTTGAGAATTTTTTAAATCAGTATTCTGAGGTTGCATAAGATGAGAACCCTTGTGAGAAACAGGTCCTCTCTTGTGCTAAATCATCTTGAGCATCAGGGATGGTATAATGACAGGATCACTAAGAAAATGCTGCTACATACACTTTTTAGAAATTTACCTTTTGATGGTATCAGCTGTCTGCATTGCTAACCTTGCCTTTTGTACGTCATACTTCAGTGCACTACTGAAATATAAATAATCTGTAATTTCCTCTTTTAATTGGCATTATTCTAAGCCAAAATGATTTTTACAGTGATTCATTCAGTAATAAGTATTTATTAAATGTGTACTATGTCTGAGACGTGTGGTTAATATAAAGAGCAGTAAACAAATTAGACATGGTCTTTGCCAGCAAGAAACTTCCAGTTTACAGACTAGAGATGCAGATGGCCCTGTAATGTTATAAAGTGGGAGTTATGCAAGAGAGGCAGGAAGGCCACAAAGGAGTCCCTAGATTTCCCTGGAGGTGTCAGGGAACTGTCACCTTGCAAAAGATCAATCCAGTGACAGTAAGAATGATATATAAATTGATATTTAAAATCAAAGACACTTTCAAAGCCATAATATTTTGGAAGAATTCAAAGTGCTTTAGTTTGTCTCTTTGAAAGTGGGAAGTAGACATTAAAGGTACACTCAGGGCCAGACACAGTGGTTTACACCTCTAATCCCAGCACTTTGGGAGGCCGAGGCTGGAGGATCACTTGAGCCCAGGAGTTTGAGACCAGCCTGAATAACATAGTGAGACTCCTATCTTTACCAGAAAACAAACAAACAAACAAAAAAACCCAGGTGTGATGTCATGTACCTGTCGTCCCAGAAACTTGGGAGGCTGAGGCAGGAGGATTGCTTGAGCCCAGGAGTTTCAGGTTGTGGAGAACTCTGATGACACCACTGCACTCTAACCTGGATGATAGAGTGAGGTCCTGTCTCACAAAAAAACAAATGCAGTTTGTATACAACTAAGAAAAGTCTACTGTGCGGAAGGCTTTGTGTACCATGCTAAATAGTAGATGCTGTCTTGGACTATAGACAGTTTTGTCTATAGTAGGAACAAAATATGAGACCAGAATTGTGGAGAAAGAATTGGAGTCTAGATTACTATCAAAAGGGTCTGGCTAGGTAGGGCACAATGGCTTATACCTATAATCCCAGCACTCTGGGAGGCCAGGGTGAGAGGATCATATGAGGCCACAAGTTCAAGGTCAGCTTGCGCAACATAGTGAGATCCCATCTTTACAAAAATTAGCCAAGCATGGTGGTGCATGCCTATAGTCCCAGCTACTCAGGAGACTTGAGGCAGGAGGATAGCCTGAGTCCAGGAGTTCCGAGCTCCAATGAACCCTGATGACACCGCTGTACTCCAGCCTGGGTGATAGAGAAAGACCCTGTCTCTAAAAATAAAATAAAAGGTATGAATAAAAAATAAGTTTAATACTAATTTTTACTAATATCTGTGTATTTTTTCTTCATTGTTAGAGTATATACTTGAGGATATATCATATATTATATTTATTGTTTCCTTCAACTGTCTAATATCATATTTTAGTAGTACAAGCTCAAGCTACACTTTGTCTTTGATTATTAATATAACAACTATTAAAAATGAAGATTTTCATATTTAAATTTTATAGAAGCATGGATTGGTCACAAATATTAAACTTTTTTCTTCTTATTATAAAATTTCACAAAGAGATCAACTTAGTCCCTTTGGGTTGCTATAACAAAATACTATAAACTAGGTAGCTTATAAACAAAATACATTTATTTCTCAAAGTTTTGGAGGCTAGAAAGTCCAAGAACTAGGTGCCAACAGATTCAGTGTTTGGTGAGGGTCCACTTTTTCATAGACAGTGATTTCTCTCTGTGTCCTCACATTCCAGAAGGACAGGAGCTCCTCTAAGCCTCATTAATAAGGGTGCTAATCCCACTTATCAGGGCTCCACCCTCATGATCTAATCACCTCCACAAGCCGTTTACCTCCTAATCCTCACCGTGGCAGTGAGGATTTCAACATATTTATTTTAGGGGGATACAAACATTCAGACCCTAGCAAAGATTTTTCAAGAACTGACTTATTGCACTCAGCATATGATTTGATTAACAAAATTCAATATTCCCAAACACATTAAAGAATACAATTCTGTATAAAGTAAAATATATCTCTTTCATCATTGACTATATATCATCATGGAGATATAAGGATTAAGGGCACAATAAGCATGGACCAAACAGTACTGTAGATATTTTTAGTGGAACCATTGGCCAGGTAAAGTCATCTACAAATTAACTATAGATAAAAGCAAAACATGATTTTAAACAGACAGATAGATGATAGGTAAAGACACAGAAGGATGGATATTACAATTCTGGTAAGGAGTGTTTGTTACTTGCATTCTTATCTACAAATTCCTGTTTTCTCTCTCATTCTCTCTGGAGAGATAATTAAAGAAAAACAAAAAATGTGATCTAGAGATTAAGAGATCTAAATATGTCCCTTATGTAAAGTTCATCTTTATTTGTCAGAATAAAATTTTTGCTTAGGTGTGTAGATAATAAATTTGAGGGATACTGTCAAATTCATTTTGCTCTACAGGATGATGGAACACCTAGTTATTGAGTATCTTAGGTCATTATTATTATTTAATTAACTGATATGGTAGGGCTATTAATCCATCATTTTTGAAAGGTTGATGGACTCTTAGATTAAAGCAGTCATGCACCACAAAACACTGTTTTGGTCAACAATAACCCTCATATACTGCAGTGATTCCATAACATTACAATGGAGCTGAAATATTCCTATTGCCTAGTGATGTCAAGCCATCAGAACATCATAACATGTTACATGTTACATCTACATGTTACGTCTACATGTTACATCATAACATGTAGAATGAGTCACTCATATGTCTGTGATGATGCTGGTGTGAACAAACCTAACGTGCTTCCAGTTGAATAAAGTATAGCACATATATTTATGCACAGTCCATAATACCTGATACTAGCAGTAAACTATCGTGTTCACTGGTTTATGTATTTGCTTTTTATGTATTCCTTATGTTGTTATTTTAGAGTGTACACTTTCTACTTATTTTTTTAAAAAGTGAACTGTGAAACAACCTCAGGTAAGGCCTCAGGAGGCATTCCGGAAGATGACATTGCCGTTTCCCTGGGCGAGGACAGCTCCCTGTGTGTCACTGTCCCTGAGGCCCTCCGCGGGCCGGGTGTGGAGGTTGAAGACGGTGCCACTGACCACCCAGACGCTGTGCGGGCCGAGGCCACGGTCTGTGCTTGTGTTTTAGTTCTTAACAAACATTTTTAAAAGTTTAAAAAAATTGAAAAAAAGAGAAAAAGCTTTTAGAATAAGGATATAAAGAAAAAAATATTTTTTGTACTGCTTACAAATGTGTTTGTGTTTTGAGCTAAGTGTTATTATGAAACAGTTTAAAAAGTTAAAAAAATTAAAAGAATTATAAAGAAAAAGAGTTACAGTAAGGTAAGATTAATTTGTTATTGAAGAATAAAAAATAAAGAAATTAATTTAGTTCAGCCTAAGTGTATAGTGCTTACAAAGTCCACAGCAGACCGCAGTGACGCCCTAGGGCTTCCCGTTCGCTCACGGCTCGCTGACTCGCCAGAGCAGTTTCCAGTCCGGCAAGCTTCAGTCACGCTATGTTGTCCCAGTTTGCCAGTTTTAATCTTTTGTTTTCTTTTCTTCTGTGTTGTTGTTGTTGTTGTTGTTGTTGTTTGTTGTTGTTGTTGTTTGCTTGTTTTGAGGCAGAGTCTTGCTGTGTTGCCGGGCTAGCGTGCAGTGGCGTCATCATAGCTGACAGCAACCCCAAACTCCTGGACTTAAGTGATCCTCTTGCCTCAGCCTCCCAAGAAGCTGCGACTACAGGCCTGAGCTACCATGCCTGGCTAATTTTTTTCTAATTTTAGTAGAAATGGGGTCTCAGTCTTGCTCAGGCTGGTCTTAAACTTTTGAGTTCCAGCGATCCTCCCGCTTCAGCCTCCAGAGGGCTAGGATTATAGGCACCGTCACTGCTCCCGACTGTGTTAATCTTTCATACTGCATTGTGACCGTCCCTTTTCTACATTTAGATATGTTTAGATGCACAAACACTCACATTCTGTGATCACTGCCCAGAGGCCTCGGCACTGCAGCCTGCCGTTCGGCTGGTGTGGGGGGGGGGCAGCGGGCTGGGGGGCCGCCGCAGGTCCGCGCAGGTGCGCCCTGACGTCCCCTGGCGTCCCCTGACGTCCCCTGGCGTCCCCTGGCGTCCCTGACGTCCCCTGGCGTCCCCTGGCGTCCCCTGGCGTCCCCTGACGTCCCCTGGCGTCCCCTGACTTCCCCTGGCGTCCCCTGACTTCCCCTGGCGTCCCCTGGCGTCCCCTGACGTCCCCTGGCGTCCCCTGGCGTCCCCTGGCGTCCCCTGACGTCCCCTGGCGTCCCCTGGCGGGAGTCCCCTGGCGTCCCCTGGCGTCCCCTGACGTCCCCTGGCGTCCCCTGGCGGGAGTCCCCTGGCGTCCCCTGACGTCCCCTGGCGTCCCCTGGCGTCCCCTGGCGTCCCCTGGCGTCCCCGGCGTCCCCTGGCGTCCCCGGCGTCCCCTGACGTCCCCGCGGAGAGATCGTCGCCGCTCGGCGGTCCCGGCTGCGCGCCGTCCTTAGTCCACACGGGTTGCAGTTTCCTCTAGAAATGCCTCACCTCCTTGAACAGCGTCTTCCCAACAGACCAATACGTCTCGATGTGGCGTGTTCAACACTACAGTGTAACGTTTTCCTAGAGAAATCAAGAACTCCTTGAAATATTCCGTTTCCAAGACCACGAAGTCCACCGAGAGCGCGACTGCCGTCTGCTCGTTCACCAACGGCTCTTTGAGGACGGTTCGACCGCCGTGAGAGCCGCAGTGTAGACGGCGCTATCCTCCTAAAATTGGCGACAAGATGAAGCGGCTGTTTCTCGGGACGTATCTAGGCAGCAAAACCTACTTTGATGTAAGCCCTCTCCGAGAAACCCGTTGCTGGTATGACAGTTTGCACTCGATACTAGTTTGAAAATCCATCTTATTTTGAGGTATACTTTGCTTGCTTAATATCTTAATTTTAGGTTTAAAGTGTGGACTTAATTCTGGCTTTCTTTGAACAATGCAGAGCAGCTTCTTACAAGTTTTTGTGTGCATAAATAAGCTACTAGGAACACGATTTAAACCAGGCAGACGTTTTGTTGGGGTGACGACTTCCATTCCGCTAACCCAGGGCCGGCCGGAGCTGCCGCGCAGGAACCAAACGCACCGCCGAAGGCCCGCGCCCAGCGTCGGTTCTGCCCTAAGTGACCCTAGGCGACGTCGCCGGAGCATAACGTACATTTGGGTGCCTCCCTGCCAAGTTGTCTATGTAACAGAGAGCAAACCATGTGACGGTGATCGATGGCACAGCTGTCCCCCTCGGGGACCGGCAGTCGGCGGAGTCGGAACAGGCCGGGCTACACCGCCCGCCGCCCGCAGCGCGCCCGTCCCCGTCGCGTGGATGCGGGTTTCCGCGCCCAGTCTCCAACCTACCAGCCACTGCTGGTCGCTTTCTTCCCTTCGCTTCGAAATTGCTGTAGAGGCATTAGAGCAAAGGTTTTCGTGCGTTTTTATCTACAAGATCTCTAGGTCATCGACAACAGCGTTGAAAATTAGAGTCCTTGGTAAGGAGTGGTTAGTGAATTATTTACTTTTTGGCTACAAGTTTCCTCTGATCTCTGACATTCTGACTTGTGCTCTCTTCTTTTTCATGTCACTAAAGTAAATGTTCCTTTGGATACCTGCCTTATAATTGTTCTGACAAATGGTAAAATTAGAATCCCTAAGTGTGTAAAAACTTGTCCTAAAGCCAAGGTTCGAGCTCTAAAATCTAGTATGTTTGACCGTGTTGTCCCTCTCTCTTTTTTCTTTTATTTTTTTTTTCCCTGTTTGGGTAGATAGGTCAGCATGTCCTTCAGTGGCAGAGACTAAAAGGAAAAAAACTAAAAAAAGAACAAAACAAAACAGCTATAGCTGTTCCTCACAGTGTTCATGGGATAGGTGTCACTATGGCAATGAAAGCAACTGATTTATGAAGAATTTAAATCAGCCACAAGGGTGTAATATTATAATTTAAAAATTATAATTATAAACTAAATTTAAAATTATAATTTAATTTAAAATTTATAATTTTAAGATTATAATTTAAAAATTATAATTTAAACAGCCACAAGGGTGTAATATTAAAATAGGCATTTGGCAAAAGAGGAAACTGTATACTGAAAATTCATATATATCATACTTGTGTTTCTTTTTGGCTTTAATTTATTTAAACTCAAGAGCAGCAATCAGAAGACCTGGGATTGATATCAGTGTTCACAGAAGTACACATTGTACTCAAATACACACGTAAAACTAGTTTGTGAGAAGTCTGGTAAAGTCAAATAAAATTAATACAACATACACAGAATTTGAAAACAATTTTGGAAATAATACATGCTGAGTAAAAAGAAAATCAGAAAATGAAAAAAAGAGAGAGAAAAGACAACTGATACTATGATGTGTAGTTCTATATCTCATGTGGAACTCATTGGTCAACTGTACCAAGGGTACATCTATCAAAGAATATTTGCAAAAATCACAAGGAAAATCAGCATATCTATGTTGTAGTGAACCTTGTTAAATCAAAATTTGTAAACATACTTTTTGAATTGTGAGTTAACAATTGTGAGTTAATACTGAGTTATATTATTTATTTACAAATGACAGACACATAGAAAAAAGTTCCTTATATTGTCTCCCTAGCTGTCACAGAAAACTGTCTTCAGTTCCATCCAAGTTGCTGCAAAAGACATTATTTCATTCTTTTTTGTGGCTGAGTAGTATTCCATGGGGTGTGTGTGTGTGTGTGTGTGTGTGTGTGTGTGTGTGTGCCACATTTTCTTTATTCACTGATCAGTTGATGGGCATTTAGGTTGGTTCCACATCTTTGCAATTGTGTGGTGATAAACATTCTGTTGCAGGTTTCTTTGATAAAATGATTTCTTTTTCTTTAGGTAGATACCTGGTAGTGGGATTGTTAGATCAAATAGTAGGCCTACTTTTTGTTCTTTGAGAAATCTCCATACTGTTTTCCATACAGGTTGTACTAGTTTACATTCCTACCAACAATGTATAAGTGTTCCCTTTTTACTGCATCCATGCCAACATCTATTGCTTTTTGACTTTTTAGTAATGGCCATTCTAAGGTGACATATCATGTGGTTTTAATTTGCATTTCCCTGATGATTATTAATGAGCATTTTTCATGTTTATTGGCTATTTGCTTATGTCTTTTGAAAAAATTCTGTTCATGTCTTTGGCTCATTTTTTAATGGGGTTATTTTTTTTTTTCTTGCTGATTTGTTTGAGTTCTTTGTAAATTCTGGACATTAGTTCTTTGTTGGATTTATAGTTTTGAATATTTTCTCCCATTCTGTATATTGTCTATTTTTTCTCTTGATCATTTCCTTTGTTGTGCATAAATTTTTTAATTGATTAAATCTCATTTATTTATTTCTGTTGTTGTTTTATTTGCTTTTAGGCTCTTAGTCATGAATTCTTCACCTAGCCCAATGTCCAGAGTTTTTCTTACATTTTCATCTAGAATTTTTATGGTTTCAGGTCTTATATTTATGTCTTTTATCCACCTTGAATTAACTTTTATATATGGTGAGAGATAGGGATCCAGTTTCATTTTTATGCATGTGGCTGTAGAATTTTCTCAGCACTATTTATGAAATAGGACATTCTTTCCTCAGTGTGTTTTTGTTGGCTTTGTCTGAAGTCAGTTGCTTGTAGCTTTATGTGTTTTTTCTGGATTCTCTATTCTGTTCTATTGGTCTATGTGTCTACTTTTATCTCAGTGTCCTGATGTTTTAGTTACTATAGCCTTGTAGTATAATTTGAAGTCAAGTAATGTGAAACATGCAGAGTTTTTCTGTTTTGCGTAAGATTGCTCTATTGGAGCTCTTTATTGATTCTATGCAAAATCTAGGATTGTTTTTTCTAATTCTGTGAATAATGATGTTGGTATTTTGATGGGAATTGTATTGGATATGTAAATCACTTTGGGCAGTATAGACTTTTTAGCAATAATTCTTCCAGTCCATGAAGAATGGATATTTTTCCATTTGTTCATGTCATCTGTGATTTCTTTCATTAGTGCTTTTTAGTTCTCCTTGTAGAGATCTTTCATCTTCTTAGTTAAATATATTTCTAGGAATTTTACTTCTATTGCAGCTATTTTAAGTGGTATTCAGTTCTTGATTTGACTGTCAGATTGTTATTCATATATAGAAATGCTATTGATTTGTGTACATTAATTTTCTAACCTGAGACTTTACTGAATTCTTTTCTCAATTCTAGGAGTCTTTTGGAAGAGTCTTTAGGATTTTCTAGATCTAAGATCATGTCATTGGCAGTCAGGGTTAGTTTGATCTTCTCCTTCTTATGTGGAGCACTTTTAAGTTCATAGCAAAATGGAGCAGAACATAGAGAGTCCTTAAATACTCCCTGCCTCCACATATACACAAACTTCCCCACTATTAATATCTTGCAACATAGTGGTCTATTTGTTACAATCAATATGCCCATATTAATATATCATTATCATCCAAATGTCAGAGTTTACTTTAGAGTTTACCTTTGATGTTGTTCATTCTATGGGGTTTGACAAATGTGTAATTGCGTTTATCCATCATTGTATCCTACGGAATAGTTTCACTACACTAAAATTTTTAGAAATACCATTGAAAGTTACAACACCAAAACACAAGTCCACTAGAAAGGATGTTTCGTTAGAAGATTACAGAAAGTTCTCACTCTTCCATATCTTACCATCACACAAACAGGTCTCCCGTACAATAACAATGAGCTATAGGGGAAACACCTGTATGACTCTTTCCAAAGAGTAGTAATTCAGGAAGCTATAGTCAAGAGGTGAGACAAAAAACAAGAGCATTACATAAATTTATGTAAATAATATCTCTGTGTATATAACAAATTGGAAATCTTTCCATTATTTTTTTTATTTCAGGAAAATATGAGAGTACAAACATTTTGGTTATATTTTATATCTTTGCTTCTCCCTAGCAAGGTTAGAGGTATGCCCCTTCCCTCCACAATGCTCACCCCATCCCTCAGTTGTGAGACTACCCAGCAGCCCCCTAAACCCTGGAGAACACCACCACCGTGTGAGCACCATAGTGTTTATCAGTCAGTACCAATTTGAGGGTAAGTACGTGTGGAGCCCATTCTTCCAATCTTGTGTCACCTCACTTCGGATAATGGCCGTAAGCTCAATCCAGGAAAATATAAGCAGTACTATCTAAATGTATGTCATCAACTACCATACACACTATACATAATGTCATTTTTGTGCTCTTCATCTAAAACTCCTGAAATGTTATCATGTCTCATTAATTTGCTTTGTAGATCTTTGCACCTCTAGTTGAATTATCAATTAATAAATATAATTTTATATTAATGATAAAAAAGAGCATTAGAGGAATTTAAAGTTTCTCACTCCTAAAGCTATAGGAAACATTAAACACAGGCCAACTGATAACAAATTTAGCATAAATCCTCACACTAAGGACTAACTTATTTCAATTTCTGTTACCAGATACATGTTTTTAACAAGAAGTTACGAGGATACCAAAAGGCAAAAAAAAAAAAAAAAAAAATTAAAAAAAAAGAAAGAAAGAAAAAAGTGTGGAAATATACCGAGCATCACAGACTCATAGAAAAGCATAATTTAAAATTAAATAAGAAATTTAAAATGACTGTAATGAATATGTTAAGAGTTTTAATGGAACAATAGACAGTGTATAAAAATTGATGGGTAATGTAAACAGAGAGATGAAAACTCTAAGAAAAAAATACAGAAATACTAGAAACCAAAACACTGTAACAGAAATAAAGAAGTTTGTTCTTCATATAATGGGCCCATTTAGCACAGCTGAGGAGGAAAACAGAGAGCTAGCTGTAAGATAGACAATTCCCAAAATTAAGGGCAGTGAAAAAAGGACGGTGGAGGAGGAAAGAAAAGATTCTCCAACAGCTATTAAGCAACTTGAAAAGATGTAACTAATATACATGTTATTGCAATGGTAGAAACAGAAGAAAGGAAGAATCAAAATTAATATTTTAGCCAAAGATGACTAAAATGTTTCCAAAATTAATGGCAAATACAGGAGGTAGTAGCTACAAAAAGCAGGATAAATAGCAAACTAAACAAGCAAACAAAAAAAGCAGAAACCAAACCAAACACCAATCATCTAGACTAGGCATATGTATTAGTTTTCTGGAGCTGCCATAACACAGTACACGGACTGTGTGGCTTAAGCAACAGAAATTTTCTTTGTTCACAGTGCTGGAAGCTAGAAGTCTGAAATAAAGGTGTTGGCAGCGTTGGTTACTTCTGAGTACCAGGATAGAAGGATCTGTTTCAGGGTTGGCTTTCAGATAGCTTTCTTCTTATGCCTTCCCATCATCCTCCTTTTATTGATGTGTGTGTTTAAATTCCTTTTTCTTATGAGGGGACCCATCATATTGGATTAGAATTTACCCTAATTACCATATCTATACTTGACTGGGTCTATAAAGATTCTTTCTCCAAATAAGGTCACATCTTGAGGTACTG